TAGCGGCGCTTTCGGTTCCTCTTTTCCCCGCTAGCTACCGCCGGGGGGTATCGCGTGGTCTGGTTGCGAGCTTCCCTGCAACCCCGTGCTTCCCTGAAGCCTCGTGCTGACCGAACCTGACAAAGAGATGGTGATACATTACTAAAATTGTTTGTACTTGCTGTGATGAAGGGGAAGTTACTTCTTTTTTCTTTTCTTTTTTTTTATTATTATATTTTTGTAGTTTGCTTTAGTTTTTATTCTTTCTATTTGTAATCTTTAATAAAATTATTTGGAAAAAAAAGAATAATCAACAAGACAGCACTGAGCAAAAATTAACACCCCAGGCAGATAAACTTCCAGCTAGTGCCCAAAATTCATCAGGTTTGTGCCAGATGAGTCATCCTGGGGAAAGATTCAAAAGCATGTGGTAAAAATAAGGCTACCATATCTGGGCTGCAAAATACAACTATTAGACAGTGGCAAAGAGAAATGGAAAATCTGAACATCCAGGGATCATCCAGATTTGTGCAGTCCAGATGTGATAGCACTGATAATTACAGTGTTTTTAGGAAACTTGAAAAGAAAGCTGGTGGTTCCTTTTATTTTAGGCTACAGATGAATCCCCAGAGGAAGGCAGATTGATGTCAATTATTGTGGCTTAATAACTTTTGTGACATTGATTACAAGATGTGGGCTGAGAATATGTACTTTTGACTTTTTTCTCCTTTAGTGATATGGGGACATGATCTCTGTTACTTGTGCCTCACATCTAAAGTCTAGAAGACTGGGACATGGTGTGTGTGTGTGTGTGTTACATTAGTTCTGAGCAAGCTAACAAAGAGTAGTGTGTTTGTACATTATGCTAAGTCATAATCTTAGAATGATGTGCTTATCCCCCAACACTTAGTGTTATGTGCAAATCAGGCTACTATATTTATTCAAGAAACTGTATTAATAAAAACTTGGCTTAATGCAAACTAATTGGGCCATTTGAATTTATTAAACAAGCCATGGTTAAAAAGCCTTGCAACTGTATGTGTCAACCAGGCCAAAATTTACAATTGTCTTCACAGTCTGTAGAAGGTGATTAGCAAGCTTGTTATGGAACTATTGCAGTTGAGATACAGTTCCTATTTTTTTCCTTTTCCCCCCTTTAAACTGTGTCTGGAAATGGGCCTACTGAAAAAAATGAGGCCCTGATTGATCTGGCACACCCACTATAGAAAAATACCAAGTTGCTTCTGATCTGCTTCTCAGTGTTTCCACAATGACTATATATAAATTAGCCTTTCCGATGTTCAAGGTTCAGTGAAGTCAGTGCTAACTTAGTTGCTCAGATATGGAAACTACAGTAGCACAGGTACTAATTTGTCTTTTACCTGCTGATTTCACTAACCAGGCTGAGCCGTGCCCATGACTTTGCTTGTTAATTAAAGGCACTGTGAGAAAAATGAATCTTTGGGTGAAAAAGACAAGTTTTTAAAGACCTCAGATGAATGGGATCGCCTTAATAAGATTGAAACATAAAGGCATGTGAAAGCATTCTTGAAGCTGATGTGAACCAGGCCGGTTGTAAACTCCTTATCACAAACATTCCCATAACAACCTAGGCATCTGCCCTGAGGGAGGGTGCCTTCTTCCTGGCATTTGGCACCTTGAACTAATTTGTGTCTTCTTCTCTGTGACACTATTGTTTTACTAGCAGTTAACAGATAACAGAGGGGCAGAGAGTAACTTGAGAACTACTGTATTGCCTGTTTAGGTATGCCTGCATCATCATATGAATATGTATGCGTATACGTTCTTTTTCCCTTCCCCTTCTTATAGAACTGCATAAATATCAGAGCATCCATTTTGCCTA